AAAAAAAAAAAAAAAAAAAGATTCTTGTAGTTGTGCCCCTCACCCAGGGCACATATACCCTTACATTGTGCTTGTTAGGTGAGAGTACTCCCCCCAGTTTGAATTATATTGAGTTTTTCTCTTGTGTGGGCATGTGTTAGCTCATCTACTAACTTCATACTGGTATTGAATACATTGTATACTTGCTTTTTCATTCTTGTGATACTGTAATGAAAAGAATGCTATCCAACTCTATCCAGGTTAATAGTTGTAAAGTTGTAAAGTTTCCATCTTTCTTTATGGCTAAAGAGTATTCCGCGGTATACATGTACCAGTTTATCAACCCATTCATGGGTTAATGTGCGCTTGGGTTGATTGTAAATTTAGCTGCAATAAACAATTAAGTGCATCTGCCCTTACAGTACAATGATTTTTTTTTTCTTCTCAGGGTATACCTAGTAACAAGATCGTGGGATCAAACAGAAGGTCTACTTTGAGTTCTTTGAGAATTCTCCATACTTGTTTCCAAAGAGGCTGTATTAGTTTGCAATCCCACCACCAGTGTAAAAGTGTTCCTTTCTTTCCACATCCATGCCAGCATCTGCAGCTATTCTCACTGGAGTCAGGTAATATCTCAAGGTGGTGTTGATTTGCATTCTCTGATAATTAGGGATGATGAGCATTTTTTCATGTTTTTTTGCCATCTGTCTGTCTTCTTCAGAGAAGGTTCTGTTCATGTCTCTTGCCAGTGATAAATGAAGTTGTTTGCTATTTTTTTTATTGATTAATTTGAGTTCTCTGTAGATCCTAGTTATCAACCCTTTGTCAGACTCATAACATGCAAATAATCTTTTCCCATTCTGAAGGTTGTCTATTTAACTGTTGTGTCCTTAGCTGTGCAGAAGCTTTTTAGCTTAATTAAGTCCCATTTATTTATTTTTGTTGTGGTTGAGATTGCAGACACTTTCCAGCAGTAGTTTCATGTTATGGAAGGGAGATTTCAACTCTTCAGTGACAGCTAGCCATATTTTTTCTTGAAAATTGAAAAGAATTGATGATTGAAAGTGTCTAGGTCTGGCACTTTATAGGGTTTATTTACTGACAATACTATTTTCACTCAATTGTTATTGGTTTTCTCAAAAAAAATGGAAATTCATATTCTCCAAAAACTTATCCATTTCATCTAAATTTTCTAATGTATCAGGATGGATGCATGTAATATATTCTCAGATAATTATTTTTAAAAAAAATTTTTGAGATAGAGTCTCACTTTGTTACACTCATTAGAGTTTTGTAGCATCACAGCTCATAGCAACCTCAACCTCTTGGGCTCAAGGAGTTCTCTTGCCTCAGCCTCCACAGCAACCTCAAACTCTTCTGCTCAAGCAGTTCTCTTGCCTCAGCCTCCCAAATAGCCACAATGCCTGGCTATTTTTTTTAGAGATGAGGTCTAAAGGTCGGTCTCAAACCAGTAAGCTCAGGCAATCCACCCACCTCGGCCTCCCAGAGTGCTAGGATTACAGGCACAAGCCACTGCGCCTGGTCTCAAATTTCTTTAAATCACTGGTTACATCCATTTAGTCCTTTAATCCTGATTCAGGTAGCAAGTTGCTCGTCTAACTTGTTAGTGTTTTTTAGAAAAAAAAATTTGGTTTATTTATGAATTCTATTATTTTGCTTCATAGAATTTTAGGAGTATTAAATTGCTTGTCTTTGTTTAAAAATCTTTTTTTAGGAATAGCAAAAGAGTGATGTGCTTCCTAAGTCCCTGCATGTGTAAAAATCATCCTTTTATTTTAATGCATGAATCATAATTTGACTGAGTGCAGAATTCTTCGGTAACATCCTTTCCCACTTTAAATTTTGTAGCCACACACAGAATTTTTGTTTTCTGAAGCATGTGAGACTAAGTTTCATACTGTGCACGAAAATAAACTTTAAGGCTCCCCTTAGTGACTGACGGACTGGACCACCTTTTGGCCAAGAGGATCCCTAAACTGAGCTGCTAGCCATGAGCAAGGAGATGGGACATGCCTGATCACGTCCCCTGTCTTCTTAGAGACGCTCACTGTGGCTCGTTCACAGGCCTAAAGCTCCGCAAGACCGACCTGCAGGTCCTCAGTAGAGCAACCACCCACCTGACTCTGAGCACGTGTCCTGTAGTTTGTCTCTGAGGAACATACTCTTATCTTAAATCAGCATTCCTTTCTGTTGACTCCTGGTCCATTAGACAGAGCCTACCTCTTTCAGCCAATTGTCAGCAAAAAAATCTTTTTTTTTTTTTTTTTTGAGACTAAGTCTCACTTTGTCACCCTTGGTAGAGTGCTGTGGTGTCATAGCTCAGAGCAACCTCAAATCTAGGGCTCAAATAACCCTCTTGTCTCAGCCTCCCAAGTAGCTAAGACTACAGGCACCTGCCACAATACCCAGCTGATTTTTAGAGACAGGTCTCACTCTTGCTCCGCCCGGCTGGTCTTGAACTCCTGAGCTCAGGCAATCCACCTGCCTCAGCCGCCCAGAGTGCTGGGATCACAAGCCTGAGCTAGCACACCCAGCTTTATTTCCACATTTTTTAAAATTGATGTAAGACAAGATATAATATATAATATTGGAATTTAAAAAGTGGATGTAGTTTTTTGAAACTCTACTAGGCTGGGTTAGGGAGGAGGTAAAGGGGAGGCGGAGGGAGACTCGAGGAGCGATTGCTCCGTGGGAGAGAAGTCAAACCCGGGGAAGGGGACAGCAGCCGCTGCCGGCCCACCACGCCTTCAGACCTAGGAAGGTTCCCGAGGATTCTCCTGTGCTCCCAGAACTAAGTCGTCTTCAGAATGCCTTTGGTCACTTGGAGTCGGGTGAGGGGGAATCTAGGAAAGAGTTAAAATGTGTGAATGGAAAGGAGGAAGCCAAGGACATGACCTTAGACCCCTGTCCCTCAAAACCACTCAGCCGTACCGTGTAAAGCAGGAAAACAGCCACAGACATATTAAGTCATGAACATGACTGTATGCCAATTAAGTGGTACTTACGGACATCAAGTTTGAATTCTGTATCATTTTCACGTGCCACAGAAATATATGTATTTTTTAACCACTAAAAATGTACACATTATTCTTAGCCAGTAGGCCAGACAAAAACAGTTGGGGGTTGGTTCTGGCCCCTGGGCTGCACTTTGGCGACCTCTGTAATAGATGTAGAATGAGATGAAGGAAATAAAAAAGGGTTAAGGGAATTTTTTTTTTAAATGAGTGAAATCAGGCTGGGCACAGCGGCTCGCGCCTGTAATCTCAGCACTCTGGGAGGCTGAGGTAGGTGGATTGCCCTGAGCTTACAGGTTTGAGACCAGCCTAAACCAGAGTAAGGCCTCATCTCTAAAAATAGCTGGGCATTGTGGTGGGCACCTGTAGTCCCAGCTACTCGGGAGGCTGAAGCAAGAGAATTGCTTGAGCCCAAGAGTTGCTGTGAGCTCTGACACCACAGCACTCTACCAAGGGCAACATAGTGAAACTCTGCATCAAAAACAACAACAACAACAACAACAAAAATCTAAGAGGGTGGGAATCAGTAAGGCATCACAACTGGTTCAAAGGAGAGTTCAAAGAATACACATTCACACACACACACACACACACACAATCAGGAAGGCTGAAGTAAATACACAAATGGGTGCAAAATTGGTTAATATGCCCAGAGCACTAATCAGTTATATTCTTCTGAACAAAATTCATTTGTACTTCTGGAGAGGAGAATGAGCTGCCTCACCCCAGCTAAGTTGTAAAACAGCTCAGAGACAATGAAAGGCCCAGGTCTCCTCACTCATAGCTACACTAGAGAAACTGAGGCCACTTACCAGGCTTTCCAGTTGTCACATCAAGAAGGATGGACATTTAGGCGTGTACTGGTTTCAAACTATCAAATTTACACCTTAATTCTGCTTTATAGGGAATGCTAAAAATTGAGTTGTATGCAGTTTGTTTATAAAATGTCATAAGATTTTAACACTATTATAGCCAAAGAAACATTTTTTTTTTTTAGACAGAGTCTGTCACCCTCAGTAGAATGCCATGGTGTCATAACTCACAGCAACCTCCAACTCCTGTGCTGAAGTGATCCACTTGCCTCAGCCTCCCAAGTAGTTGGGACTACAGGCACCTGCCATAACATTGCCTATTTTTTTAGAGATGGGATCTCATTCTTGCTCAGGCTAGTCTCAAACTCCTCAAGCAATCCACCAGCCTTGGCCTCCCAGAGTGCTAGAATTACAGGTGTGAGCCACCACGCCTGGCCTCAGAGGCATTCTAACTCCTCTATCCCATAAATACTTACTGTGGTCATTCAAGTGGGGCAAAGGAAATATCCTTTTAAAACTCAGGCAAACCAGTGCTTATCTTGTATCCTGTCAAAGGAAACAAATGGAAAAAAAAAAAAAAAAAAAGAATACTTACTATGTTATCCTAGAAGACTTTCTGCAAGGTCAAAAGCACAAAACTGGATTTTAAGATTCCGACTCAAATCACAGTTCCAATACCGACTGGCTGTGTAATCCTGGGAAAATAAATCAACATGCTTCAGTTTCTTCACCTGAAGAATGATAATAATATTAGTTAGTACTTCTTAGGGTTGTTGAAAGAACTAAATGAAGTCATACAAGTGACAGACTTAGCCTAGAGCCTGACACAACGCAATCACACAATACTGTTATTTTTCTTTTAGATCAGTGCTGGATAACATCTAATTTGTCTAAAATTTGTCAAGGTACTTGTTATTTTGGACGGTCTTAATAAAGCTAAGTTACTATTTTTATGTCACATCTGCCTATTATTAGAGAAGATTCTCTTTAAGGGGAGATGCCAACACCTTCAATTCTTTTAGCTATTAGCTGAAGTGTGGTGACACGGAACGGCCGTCACTCTCCTGCTGTCCTCTCTAACACCATCATCTATCAGAGGGTGTACGTTTTGATTGACAGAAAGAAGAGAAATGTCATCTAATTTCTATAGGAATTAAAATGTTCCTTGAATTACACACGAATCTTTCCCAAAAGTCTCTATTGAAACTATATTATTTTTCAGCACACAATAAGTTTTATTTGATCTTAATATAAGGAAATATGCCATTCTTCTATAAAAGTTTCTTTCTGAGACAGTCTCACTCTGTTTTTCTAGACAGAGTATCTGGTGTCACAGCTCACAGTAACCTCAAACTCTTGGGCTTAAGTGATCTTTTTGCCTCACCCTCTCAAGTAGCTGAGACTACCGATGCCTGCTACAACACCTGGCTAGTTTTTCTATTATTTAGTACAGAGGGGTCTTGCTCTGGCTTAGACTGGTCTTGAACTCCTGAGCTCAAGCAATCCACCCGCTCAACCTCCCAAAGTGCTAAGATAACAGGCGTGAGCCTCCACTCCTGGCCTCTTCTATAAGACTTTAAAACAGGGTAGTGGCACCTGTGGCTCAAAGGAGTAGGGCACTGGCCCTATATGCTGGAGGTGGCAAGGGCAAACCCAGCCCCAGCCAAAAAGAAGAAGAAAAAAAAAAAGACTTTAAAATGTACATTTTTCTACACTACAATGGACAAAGAGGAAGAACTAAATTTGAACCTAATTTCATTTCACGTAAATTACACACAATTACATCTTTTCTGAACAACTGAAAGTCCACATCAGACACTTCAGAAATTAAAATTGTTATACCTACACTTCTATATTGAGCGAAAAAGGTATCACTGAAGTGACTTTGTTTTTCTTAGACCACAGAGGTTTTCTTTTCCTGAAATAGAACATTTTTCTATATGAAGAGCTGACATTTTTATTCCATACCCTACCCACTCATCACTCTGCTCAAATTATCATTCCAATTCCTCAACTCCGTGGTTTGTTGTCGTGGTTTTTTTTTTTCTTCTATTTAAGAAAACCAACATCAATGCTATAAAAATAACATTAAGATGCACACTCAGAGCCTGTAAGAAAAACTTTCTGGGCTGAGGACATTCCTGGCTGTGTTTTCAGTAGAACAAAAGTCCTTTAAGATTGACATTTGAAATATGTTTTGTTTGCCCACTTGGCCAGCACGGGGGAATTTAATTTTCTCTTTTCTTTGTTCTAACATGCTGTGAATTCTGTAGACACCGCTTTAGGAGGACCCAGTAAAAGAGAACTGCCCTTGAAATGTTAAAATGCAAAAAACAGTCTGAGAATGTTATGAGGCAAGACAGAATGACGTGAAAGATATTTTCATCTCCTTGCATTTGGTGCCAACTCAGGGCCCAGCCAGGAAAACAGTCCACCATGTACTGTAAAGTAATACTGAATGGAACAGGTGAGTTAAGAATGGGGTAAGAATGGAAAAGTGACTCAGACGTAAAGTCACAACATGGTGAATTTGTCCTGAAGATAATTGTCAGGGGCATTAATTGACCAATTCCTGTTATTATCTAATAGCAAACTAATGTATGCTGTAAATATTTGCATTTGGTGGAGGACATGGCATAATGCTCTTAGTATAAAACTAGATAGGGAAGTGAAATTTAGTTTTTAATCCCTAACCTGTTTCTTAGTCACTTAATAGGAAGGCCTTTTTTGTTTCTATTGCCAGGTGAAAGAGAGAAAATCATCGTGCATGAAACTTAGAAGAATTAGGGTATTTGTAGGAGAAGGAGGGTGTTCTGCTAGTGAGGGCCTTATTTAAAGTTACAAAAGCAGAGTATATTTTCTGATTCTATGGCAATTTCTCTGTATTACTATTTTGAAACAAAAACAACATCTTTCTGTTCAGAAGAGGTGTGTGTTTTAAACCAGAGAGCCTACATCACAGACTTTGATTATTGATCCTGTTATTACATGGGCCTTGGAATCATCTCAAGTTCTTAACTCTCAGCTTTTCCACTCCATGACTACAAAAGTGGAGATGATAAAGTGCTGGAAAGTTTTGAATTTCCTTCTGTTTTTGTTTGCTTTGTTTTGTTTTGGAATTCCTTAGTGGACATTTTTATCTCTATGAAATATTACTATGCTGGGAACTTCGAAAGATCATGGAACATTCAGAGGATAATATCATGAAAGCTAAGCCTATTCTGATGAAAATAAACTTTAAAAGAACGAACTTTTGAAAACCTTTAGGATATATCTGTCTTAGAATAAAGTCAAAGAATGTTTCTGAACGTTGGTGAGGGCACATGGGAATAGAGCTTGTCACCCGCTGCTAAAGAGGTATATATCCTACTGAGAAGTAATTTATTAAAATGTGTCAATAACCTTAAAAATGTCTTTATTAGTTTGCTTGGGCTGCCATAAGAAAACGCCGTGGGCTAAGTGGCTTCAACAACAGAAATTTATTTCTCAAAGTTCTGGAATCTGGAATTCCAAAATTCAGGTGCCAGCTGATTTGATTTCTGGTGGAGTCTCTCTGTCTGGCTGATAGACTCCTGCCTTCTTGCCGGGTTTTAATAGGGGGGAGAGAGAAGTATCTTCCTCTTCTTATAAGACCACAGTCCTACTGGATTATGATATCGTCATTATCCAACCTTGCCTCCTAATGACTCTATCTCTAGACACAGTCACTTTGGGGATTAGATCTCCAATATATGAATTAGGAGGGGCCACAATTTAACAATGTTTGTATCGTTAGATCCAGTAATTCGTCCTCTAGCGGTTAACCCTGTGTACCTGGTATAAGGTGGGAATGGGAATTAAGGGAAGGTGACAGGAATGTAACCTTAGATGTCAGCTTCTATCTAGTATATGTATCATGTTTTTTATAATTTAAAATAGAAGAAAATACAATGTTCAAAAATATCATGAATAGTTTAGGCTGGGCGAGGTGCCTCATGCCTGTAATTCCAGCACTCTGGGAATCCAAGGTGGATAGACTGATTGAGCTCAGGAGTTGGAGACCAGCCTGAGCAAGAGCGAGGCCCTATCTCTAAAAATTAGTCAATCATTGTGGCAGGTGCAGGTAGTACCAGCTACTCGGGAGGCTATGGCAGGAGAATCGTTCAAGGCCAAGAGTTTGAGGTTTCCATGACCTGTGACACCAGGACACTCTCCTGAGAGCAACAAAGTGAGATTGTGTCTCAAAAAAAAGAGAAGAAGAAGAAGAAGAG